CCACCCCAAACCACCCAAACCACCCCAAACCACCCAAACCACCTCAAAAACCCCCCAAAAACCCCAAACCACCCCAAACCACCCCCAGCCTCCCGTGGGGGACACACAGAGAACTCGGCAGGGGCCGGGCATTTATTGAGGCTGAGGAAAAGGGCCGGGGGGCGCCCCCCTGGGATTTGGGGAGGGGTCCCCCGGGATCTGGGATGGGGTCCCCCCCCGGGTTTGGGGAGGGGTCCCCCCGGGTTTGGGGAGGCGTCCCCCCGGGATTTGGGGAGGCGTCCCCCCGGGTTTGGGGAGGGGTCCCCCGGGATTTGGGGAGGGGTCCCCCTCCGGATTTGGGAAGGGGTCCCCCCCGGGATTTGGGGAGGGGTCCGCCCCCGGGTTTGGGAAGGGGTCCCCCCCGGGTTTGGGGAGGGGTCCCCCCGGGATTTGGGGAGGGGTCCCCCCCCGGATTTGGGGAGGGGTCCCCCCCGGGATTTGGGGAGGGGTCCGCCCCCGGGTTTGGGAAGGGGTCCCCCCCGGGTTTGGGGAGGGGTCCCCCCCCGGGATTTGGGGAGGGGTCCCCCCAGGATTTGGGGAGGGGTCCCCCCGGTTCGGGGGGTCACTGCTTCTGCTGCAGCGCCTCCTTGCGCGCCGCGTCCTGCAGCAGCTGCGTGTCCACCTCGTCCGCCGGGAGCTGCACGTAGCGCACCACGGAGCCGCGGATGAAGCAGTTCTTGACCGAGAGCTGAGGGGGCCGGAGACCCCTGAGACCCCCGGGACCCCCGAGACCCCCGAGACCCCCGAGGGGGCCGAGACCCCTCCCCCAAAAAAACCCCAGGAGGTTCCCCCGAGCCCCCCGAGGCTCACCATGTGCGGGTACTTCTCGGGGTCCGTGACGCTGATGTCGGTCAGTTTGATGTTCAGGTACTGGGGGGGCGCAGGGGGGGTCAGAGACCCCCAGAGCCCCCCAGAGCCCCCCAGGGACCCCCGGGGAACCCCAGAGCCCCCCCAAGGACCCCCAGAGCCCCCCAGAGACCCCCCAGAGCTCCCCCAGAGCCCCCCAGGGACCCCCAGGGATGCCCAGAGCCCCCCAGGGGCCCCCAGAGACCCCCAGGGACCCCCACAGACCCCCAGGGACCCCAGAGCCCCCCCGAGGACCCCCAGAGCCCCCCAGACCCCCCCAGAGCCCCCCAGGGACCCCCCAGAGCCCCCCCGAGGACCCGCAGAGCCCCCCAGAGACCCCCACTCACCTGATCCACGGAGTGCAGGGTCCCGCAGATGCTGGGGAGAGACACGGGGGGATTTTGGGGGGTTTTGGGGGGGTTTTGGGGGGGTTTTGGGGCTGGAAGTTCTGGGGGGGGTCCCGGGGGGGGTTTTGGGGAGGGGGATTCTCGGGGGGCACAATGGGGATACCGGGAGCTCCTTGAGGGAGGGGTCCCTGGGGGTCCCTGGGGGTCTCTCTGGGGGTCTCGGGGATCGCCCCGGGGGGGTCCTGGGGCTCCCGAGCCCCCCCCTCACCTCAGGTCGTTCTTGAGCTCCACCACCACGTCCTTCCCCACCAGGGACTTGAAGAAGGAGTAGAAGAGCTGGGGGGGCACAGGGGGGGTCAGGGGGGTCCCGGCGACACGGGGGGGACACACGGGGGTCCCGGGGGGGACACGAGAGGGTGGCGGGGGTCCCGGGGGGGGGGTCAGAGGGGGCCCGGGGGGTCAGGAAGGGGCGAAGGAGGCCAGGGGGACACGGGGGGGGT